ATACATGCGGGGAACACAGACGGAAGTGGCCAGTAATGCGTCAGGCCTCCGAACTGCCACATACAATTCAGATACTTCTATATATACTAATAAAAGAGTTCTTTGAAAACAATTAGTAAATTGAGTGACAAAATGACATATGTTGAGTAAATTACAATCTGTGAAAAGTTTTGATAAGATGGACATGAAAGAAAGATAAATTAAATAATTACATGAATGTTTTTATAAGGTATTAGAAATAAGTGATTGTGTTAACTCTCTGTCCCTTTGTAGTTCTCAACAATTGTCCAAACAGTGTCACTATGCAATTAAGTAAATAAATCAGTATTTCGTAGTAGAACATTAAATTGATTCATAACTTATTTCAATGAAAATAACTGATAAAACATATTTAATTACAAAATAAAAGTTCAAGAGAAAATTTGTAAAAAGGGTCAATTCTGCACGGTGATATTTCATTCGAATTAAACTCTCCGTGTGAACAGGGCATTACTTCGCATTAATTTACTGCGAATTATACTTTCCGTGTGAACAGGGCATTAGAATGTTTGAACATGATTTTTGTACCAAGGCTCCAAAATTTTGAAATCAAAATTAATAATTATTTAATTTATTAAAGGGCTTCAACATAAGGGAAAAAGAAGAAAATTGTACAGGTGTTTGGCAATTTAGTGCACTTAAACTGAAAACTGAATCCCGCAAACTGCATACAAATATCATACCCCGTTAAGTTATATTGGTCATCTGCAATTTGTAATTACTCCGAAGTGAGGAAGGATAAGAAAACTTTATATGATAAAGAGTTATTGAACACATCACATGTCTTTTTTCAATGATAATTAAAAACTTCTGAAATCTATTTAATGCAGTCGAGTTTTTTAATTGTTGTTATGTGCGGCCTCGACTCGATTTACCGGTACCCTTTTCCAACACAAATTTTACCTTGAAATTAAATATACATTACATGAAAACACTTCATATATTTAAAGGGAGTATAGATGAAGTGTAATGCTAGATAATTTTATCTTAAAAAAAAAAAAAAAAAAAAAAAAAAAAAAACATTCAGCTGACTGATATCAGTGCGTCTCTGTTTGGCGGAAATACAAATTTGCTGTTTATTAAATAAAACATGATAATTTATGAAAGAAATGATAAAAATTTTATTTTGAATGATCTTCAGTCGATATGTTCACCTTCTTCTATGAAGATCAAAATTTTAAGTAAACAACACTTGAACAGTGATGCTCGCTGCGATGATTGGTTTGCTTTAAGTAAAATTTTAAAAATATTAATTTACAAGGTAAATTCTATATGGCTCGTATTTAATCAAAACATACATTGATTTAATGAATGTAGTGAAAGGTGTTTTGTACAATACCATGGATTTAAAAATAAGACGAGTAATTTTGTTTTTTCATAAGGTCTGTTAAATAAAGAATTAAATGGCCCCTACAGATAAAGTGCAGCTTTCAGGTCCCTAGTAACCTTTTTCAAAGTGGGGGAAGGGGGGGGGGGGCGTAGTGCGGGTCTGGCTTTTAATATGAGATCAATTCAAGAAGAAAATTCGACAGATTTTGTTGGCATCCGTCTTTCTCAAAAGTTTTAATCCTTAGCAAGTTCATAATCATAACTAGAAAACTTCTCTGTCTTTTGACCAGTTATTGCACATCTTGCCAGTTGGTGATACTAGTAGTTACCGAACAAAAATTATTATTCAATTTTTGAGGCGGACCCCCAACTTCGTCTTGGAGATTTTGCACGATTTAATCATTTTCAATCTTTATTAAACTTTACTATATTTTGATATACACCATATATACTTACTTTATACCACAGAATTTTTTATGCATTAAATATTTGTCTTTTTTGCACTTTTTCGATATATATATTCTCTTTTGAATTTCTATTCAGTTTTTCTGTTTGTTTGCACTCTTTCAGATTTTCCCGCTTATTTTTGTATTATATAGATATATATATATACTGAGTTATACACCTGTTTATATTTGTTATGTTGAGAACTTTTGTGTGTGATATGGACAATGGAAATTATATAATAAATACTTACTTTCAGATCTATTACGAACAAGACTGCAAAAGCTGCAACACAGCATGTCAGCCATACAGGGTAGAACGATTAATTTGTTCTGTGTGTGGAAGTAAAGATTGCAGGTGCACGAAGGAAGAAAAAAAGGCCAGACACATCGACCCAAACAAGCCACATAGATCAGACTTGTGTCACAAGTGCCGGTCTGGGTTCCCATGCCAATAATCTAACTTTCAGATGAACATCCCAGTGTAACTCAGTAGATCACATGGCTTTGGAATCAGCTTCCTTCCTCCTTTCTTTTACTGGGCATGATACGTCAACTATGTTTTTTTATATAATAATAACTAATAAGATATTTGGATAGTTACTAATATAACGATTTTGACTTTTTCCATTGAATTGATTGTTGATGTTAAACCTATGATCATTTTATTTTATTTTTTTCTACTGTTAATTTAATTGTATAAATGTGATTTTGTCAAACTTTTGATAAATTTAAATTATATATTTATATAACTAGAGAGTGTTTTTTTTTTTTATATATATATATGAAAGTGTACTGTTCATTGTGCAGATCATTTCTATTGTTTGATAAACCACAACAGGACTCTGTTTAGCTGTTAAGATGATAAATGTGAAGAACTTTATCAATACATATATTTTAAATTAGGCATTAAGCTATGTGGTACTAACATGTAGGTACAGATTTACAGCTATGTGGTACTGTGTGTTTCTTGACATTATTTTCACAATGTCAAAATAACACTTTTATTAACTTGACATTGTGAAATTCAAAACAAAATTTATTTGACAAATAAATTCCAGTACATATTTCACTGTGAAAATGTGATAAACAGAAGGTATCACATGATTGATAACTGTAATTTTTGTTGTTAATGTCGAGGGAAAAGGTAATGACCCTGGCCTGATTTTTTTTTGACCAATCCACCCTCATACAAGTACACATTAATAGTCCCTATATGCATAAAGCTGGTGAAATAATCATGGAAACACATTTCCACTGTCCCTGATACAAGTACACAGGATAATGGTCTTTGATAAAGTTATGTGAAATAATTATGGCAAGATATGATGACTGAAATGCCATAATGACAACAATTTAACCTTCTCCTCTGTCATCTCTTTGCATAACATTTCACTGTGTTTAAAATATTTTACTAACATCTAGACTCCAACCACTCCCCCCCCCCCCCCTTCCTGTAAGCAACAACATCTGAGACAAAGTCAAAAGAGTCAATATTTGACATTGATGAATTCATATAAATATTTCACTATTCAAAAACCACAGATAAAAAGTCCAGTAAAACAGATGTTGAGGGGACCAATCCAAAAACTTTGATACTGGACAGGATACCAGTCCAACATTAAAACAAGAGGCCCACATGCCACAATGCTCACCTGAGTCAATGTGGCACTGCTGTTCTTCATCAGCAGATTTTTCTATTATATATTCCTATGTGAAAATTTTATCCCTATTGTGACCCCACCCTATCTCCCAGTGTCATGATTTTTATAGATGTAGCCTCAACCTACCCCTCAGGGTCATGATTTGATTTGAACAAACTTGAATCTACACTACTTCAAGATACTTCCATACCCATGTGACTACACATGGCCTCGCTATTCTTGAGAAAAAAAAATTTGAGAATTTTTTCGTGTACATCCATATGTTAAACTCTGATAGTGCATTGTATCAGTAGCCCCACACCCTACCCCAGGGGTTCATCATTTGAACAAACTTGAATCTACACTACCTGAGGATGCTTCCATATCAGTTTGACTTATCATGGCTTTGTGTTCTTAAGAAAAAGATTTTTGAAGATTTTTTACCTAATATTCCAAAGTAAAACTTTGATCCCCCATTGTGGCCCCACCCTATCCATGGGGGTCATGATTTTAACAAACTTGAATCTACACTATCTGAGGATGCTTCCATATCAATATGACTAATCAAGGCTTTGTTGTTCTTGAGAAGAAGATTTTTTCATTTTTTCTAGATATTTCTATGTTTAACTTTCATCCCCCATTGTGCCCCCACCCTACCCTGGGGTCATCATTTGAACAAACTTGAATCTACACTACCTGAGGATGCTTTTATATTAATATGACTAATCATGACTTTGCTGTTCTTGATAAGATTTTTAAAAGATTTTTTTCTACATATTTCTAAATAAAACTAAGATCACCCAATGTAGCCCCACCCTAACCCTGGGGGTCATGATTTAAACAAATTTGAATCCACACTTTGTAAAGAAGGTTTTATATAAGTTTCAACTTTTTTGGCCCAGTGGTTCTTGAGTAGTAGATTTTTTGAAAGATACAACTAATTTTTCACTAATTCTTAATTATCTCCCCTTGAAAGAGGGTGTGGCCCTTCATTTCACCCAAGGATGCTTTGTGGTAGCAAGTTTGGATGAAATTGGCCAAGTGGTTCTGGAGAAGAAGTCGAAAATGAGAAAAGTTTACAGATGGACAGACACTCTGACAACAGACAAAATGTGATCAGAAAAGCTCACTTGAGCTTTCAGCTCAGGTGAGCTAATTATTGGACCACTTATTATTGTCACATCTAATATTAGAAGCAACTAATTTCTGCCATTAACTAAGTACCTAGTAAAAATGTGCACAAGTTGTCATTTCATATAAAGATGCCTTCCCTATTTCTAAATGCATTTGTTGGATCCTCTCATAAAATGTTAGCCTCAACCTTTAGATTTGTTCAACTTTTTTCTATTGGTTCAGTAAATCATACATTGCCCTTATAGTCAGCATTAACATGGAGTAATATTTTCACTCCAAAATATGATGTACAATAATAATATTTTCAAATTCTGCTTATATGATATTCTTTTTAGAAGTTCAATGTTTTGCAGGGTTCAAAATATTAAATGTCAGCTGAGGATTCATCACTTTTAAAGTGTGATAAACACAATACATGTAAATGATTTATTTATCCTCTCTCTTAATTAGCATCAAAAACATTTTTGCACTGCTTAGCTTACCGTATATACTCGCCTATAAGTCGGTCCGCCTATAAGTCGGTTGTATTTTTTAAGCTTAAATTAGAGGGATTGACCTGCTAAAATACCAATCTTTTTATAACTCGCATATAAGTCGGATAAAGAGTTTTGGACCAAAGTTTAACTCCCAAAAAACCGACTTATAGGCGAGTATATACGGTACTTAGGAATTTTACATCTTGGTAAACAGGATAGGACAAATTACATGCATGTATATTAAAAGAGCAAACAAGTTGAAAAAATGGGATGATAAACTTACATGGACAAAAGTACAAATCATAATGAAACTTTACATTGTTAATAAGTATTGTCTATCTTTGTTTGTTTAACTTGCAGTGTTGGTATTTGCCCTTGACTGTACATAATTTCTATATAAAATACTGATATAAATAGCCAACAAAAGGAGTACAAATATATCATCTAGAAATCCCAAAATTCCAAACACAGCTTCTGGGATAATGTCTAAAGGTGAAATAAAGTAGAATAATGCTGCTAGGAAAATCGCTATAATGCGCAAACGGAACATACATATTAGACCTCCAACAGAGAAGAATTCCCTTAAGGCATGACGTAACAGCGTAGGTAAATCTCGTAGATAATCCAGCAACTGATTAGAGAAAAAGAATAATTAATTAAAATTTCATATCATTATGAAATTTCATTTCATTACTCAATCAGTTTACCTACCAGCCATATATGAATTAATATAATTATTAAATGTAAGTATATCGTACATAATTTGAAAGGGCAGAGTAAAAACCATAACACTGGATATTTAATCCAATTTCCTCCTTTAGTTATATTGTCTACTGTAAAATGAATTGCCCTTTTGCCCCCATAATCAAAGATTTGGAGCCATATAGTTTTTATTAGCTCACCTGAGCCGAAGGCTCAAGTGAGCTTTTCTGATCACATTTTGTCTGTATCCGTCTGTATCCGTCTGTCCGTCTGTCTGTCTGTCTGTAAACTTTTCACATTTTTGACTTCTTCTCCAGAACCACTGGGCCAATTTCAACCAAACTTGCCACAAAGTATCCTTGGGTAAAGGGGATTCAAGTTTTTTTCAAATGAAGGCCCACGCCTTCTTCCAAGGGGAGATAATAATGAATTCATGAAAAATTAATGGCATCATTAAAAAATCTTCTTCTCAAGAACCACTGTGCTTGAAAATATGAAACTTATGCGAAAGCATCCTCAGGTAGTGTAGATTCAAATTTGTTCAAATCATGACCCCTGGGGGTCGGGTGGGGCCACAATGGGCGATCAAATTTTTTACATAGGAATATATAGGAAAAATCTTTAAAAATCTTCTTTTCAAGAACAGGATAGCCATGACTGGTCATATTTACATGGAAGCATCTTCAGGTAGTGTAGATTCAAGTTTGTTCAAATCATGACCCCCAGGGGTTGGGTGGGGCCACAATGGACAATCAAAGTTTTACATTGGAATATATAGGAAAAATCTTTAAAAATCTTCTTCTTAAGAACATCAAAGCCATGATTGGTCATATTTACATGGAAGCATCCTCAGATAGTGTACATTCACGTTTGTTCAAATCATGACCCCCAGGGGTTGGGTGGGGCCACAATGGGTGATCAAAGTTTTACATAGGAATACATAATAAAAATCTTTAAAAAACTCTATTTCTTAAGAACAGCAAAATCATGATTGGTCATATTTATATGGAAGCATTCTCAGATAGTGTAGATTCAAGTTTGTTCAAATATGACCCCCGGAGGTAAGGTTGAGGCCACAATGGGTGATCAAAGTTTTACATAGGAATATATAGGGAAAATCTTTAAAAATCTTCTACTCAAGAACAGCAAAGCCATGATTGGTCATATTTAAATTGAAGCATCCTCAGGTAATGTAGATTCAAATTTGTGCAATTCATGCCCCCCCCCCCTCCCCGAACCACTTTTATTTTTAAACTTTTCAACCTTTCAAGACTGAACTGATTTCTGCTTTTTCCTAGCCATAGTGCTCAGGTGAGCGATGTGGCCCCTGGGCCTCTTGTTCACTCTGATTCCCAAAGGAGGAATTTAAGAGCCTTCTATACACTAAAGACTTCTGATTTTGTGGTATTTTTATGCAGATAGATATCTGCCCTTAAATGTAGAAAAAAAAATAAATTGAAATGTACAGTTTATTACTTAAAATATGTGATCAAATCAAGCATTCATAACATTTTAATAAGTCAAGATGAATAGAATGAACAATTCATTTTCAGGTATTTTGCCTACTTAGATAAACAACAGCGATTTCTGTTCATCAGTACTTTGCTGTCTTTGAACATTTACCTTAAAACTTGTGAACATAACTCAAAATATTTTCCATGAGGATTTATGACTCAACAAATGAGAAAGTTTATTGACTTTCTGGAATTCTGAGGACTTGCTCATAAAACTTGGCTAGAATTCTTTGGGATGATATTATAGTATTTACCATCTCAAAGTTTTAATCAAGAAAATTTCACATCAGTTTGAATTGATTTGCCTCAGTATACTGTATATTAAAAATGAAATCATTGACCTTAATTTGATGTGTATTTACGGAATTTCATTTATGTAAATGCTCGTCAGGAAAAGAAGGTTAATATATAAGCATTGTGGCCATAAACCTTTTGTAATTTATTTATTTATTTTTTTTGAATTGTGGCAGTACATGCTCTCGTTTTTTTTTTTTTTTACAAGGAGGAATAAAACAAGAAGCTCAAGAAGCTGAGTATAATGCAACCCTGTAAAGGATCTATAAAATAGCAATTTAATAAGAATATAATAAAACAAGAGGCCCAGGGGCCACATCGCTCACCTGAGCACTCTGGCTAGGAAAAAGCAGAAATCAGTTCAGTCTTGAAAAGTTTAAATATAAAAGTGGTTCAGGGTGGGGGGGTTGGGGGTTGGGGGGGGGTTGATTTGAACTAACTTGAATCTATACTTCATAGGGATGCTCTTGAATTAATATGACAAACAATGGCTTAGTCTTGTTAAGAAGAAAATTTTTATTGATACACATGTATATCCTTTGTATTCCTTTGTATAACTATGATACCCTGTTATGGCCCCTTTATTCTCCTGAGGGGTCATGATTTGAACAAATTTGAATCTACATTACCTGAGGATGCTTCCATTTAAATATGACTAATCATGGCTTTGCTGTTCTTGAGAAGAAGATTTTTAAAGATTTTTCCTATATACTCCTATGTAAAACTTTGATCGCCCATTGTGGCCCCACACTATCCCCAGGGGTCATGATTTGAACAAACTTAAATCTACACTACCTGAGGATGCTTCCATATAAGTTGCGTATTTTCAAGCATAGTGGTTCTAGAGAAGAAGATTTTTAAATGACGCCATTAATTTTTCACGAATTCATAATTATCTCCCCTTGGAAGAAGGCGTGGCCCTTCATTTGAACAAATTTGAATCCCTTTTACCCAAGGATATTTTGTAGCAAGTTTGGTTCAAATTGGCCTGGTGGTTCTTGAGAAGAAGATGAAATTGTGAAAAGTTAACGACGACACCAACAAGGACAGACAACAGACAAATTTTGATCAGAAAAGCTCACTTGAGCCTTAGGCTCAGGTGAGCTAACAAAAACTGATAGATGAACATATGTTGCCCAAACAGAGAATTAGTACAATCAGGGATCAAGAAAATACAAATGTGCATTGAAGTGGTAAATGTTTTTGCTTGATGAAACATTTTGAGTTAATTTTCTTCTGAACATTGGTTGTTACATAACGACATGTTCATTTCTTTAGAAAGGAGAAAACAGCTATTGTAGATGTTAGTGTGAGGAGAAATGTTGGTCTGCACTGAGAGAGAGCCTTCAATTGTCGAAAATTATTTCCCATGCTTCATTCAAATAACTGTAGAACAGGTATTCTATAAATACAATAGCCGATCAGATTGGAAGTCTGCATAAACACTGGGTAAATATGTGTTTGGTCGATACACATGTGATAAATTCAATAGGCATGACAAATATATACATGTAATTATGTTACTAATGTACATGTACATATATTCATCGTAATACAAGAGTTTTACAGAAATGGGAGTCTCTCACTCTTAACTAATCATTTATGTAATGTAATATTATTTCTATATGTTTCAGGTATCAGTCATCCTTAGTTAATTAAAGAGTTACTCATTGGATGATGGTTATTATTTATGACTGATACCAGTTCTACACAATTTGACAATTTTGGTACAAAAGACGATCTATACTCCCCAACATGCCAACGTTAGAGTGTCCTGTATTTGGATGTGAGTGGCAGTCTCAGGACCTGGATGCAGCTTTTGCCGCAGCGATGACGGCAGCCCTCCAGATCCACGATAGAACTGTTCACCAGCCACAGGCCCAGCCAGCAGCTGCCGCAGCTCCCAAACTGAAGTTGGACTCACCCACCATAGCTGCTGGATGTGACCCAGACCAGTGGTCAGCGTTCACTCGACAATGGGAGATGTACAAGGTGGGTATGGCCATTGCCCAAAACGTCATACCCACTGCTCTGTTCTACTGCTGTGACTCAGACCTTCGGACCGACGTCATGCGTGACCAACGAGGTAACATCACAGACATGCCAGAGGCAGACCTGATGAATGTCATTAAACGGCTTGCTGTGAAGGATGAGAGCACATTGGTACAACGCATTAAGCTCAGTAAGATGACATTAGCACCTGGTACCAGCATCAGAACGTTTTTAGCCAGTCTCCGAGGTCAGGCGTCTCTCTGTCAGTACAAGGCCACATGCAAGGAGGAAGGGTGTAACCACATTTACGACTACAGTGATGAGATCATAAAGGACAATCTGGTTAGAGGAATTGCAGACCCTGAAATTTTGTCTGACCTGCTTGGTGATCCTAAGACAGACAGAACCTTGGAAGAGACTGTTTCCTTCATAGCACAGAAGGAACAAGGCAAAGTTACACGGAGTGCAGTTGGAGATTCAGCCGGTGCGATGTCGACAACGACCCATAGCCAAACATCAGTACAAGGACCTGGAGGCAAGTGCTGGGCATGTGGTGGACCTGCCCACGGACAAAGAAACGATCGTCGAGCCAGACAAAGAAGTTGCGAGGCCTGGACATCTACATGTGCCAAGTGTAAAGTTAAGGGTCATTATACCAAGTCATGCAGCAAGTGTTCAACGTGTGGTGCCTGGGGACATCGTGATTCATCGTCAAGGGCTTGTACACAGGGACGAGGACAGAAACTCCGCAATCAGGGACCATCACAGGAACCGACGAAAGATGCTGACGACAAGGTTGGTTATGTCTACGACCAGCTATGTACCACATCAGAACAATATCAGAATACAGCACGTCTTGAACATCACATCTTCGAAGGAAAATGGATAGCTAGGCCGTCCAAACCTCATCCGATGCTACTGGTTAATATGACACCTTTGGCCGAGGACCATGCGTCATTTGGACATCCAATCAAAGATGTTACAAGGTTCAAAACGATACAACTGACCATGGTAGCTGACACCGGATGCCAGAGTACGATAATCCCATTACAGACAGCCAACAACCTGGGAATTACCAGAAAGGACCTAATTCCAGTAAAACTCGTTATGCGAGGTGCCATCAAAGAAA